GTTTGTCAATCACCTGTCCAATCTGAGACACTCTGTGTGACTTTTAGTACTTTATGAAGGCTATTTATGCTGTTTCTACCATTTTGTCTGGATTTCCCAAAGTTTCCAGTTGTCTATACATTTTGCACAGGACTTGTGCAGTTTCAAAATCAATGTTAGTCTTCTCATTAACTTCTGCAGTAGGATGTCCTGAAGTGGTGAAGTTGATATAAGAAGTTGCTGCTCATCAGCAGTTGGAAGTTATTACTGTTCTACATAACAAACAGGGCTCAAATTCTGTAGTAAGCCAGGCTAGCTTGGTTAGGGAAGACCAGTATCAAAGGGTCATGGCAGATTAAAAACTCTTACCAATTATAACTTTTGGATTTAGTTACATAGCTGTTAATAACACAAATGAATTATGCTAACAAGAAAGTATATGTGATATTTTTTAATAGCAGCAGCTTATTTAAAACTGTGTTGCTACTAACATCTGCATGAGAAAAACTGTGTGTTTTAGGATGAAAAGGGACCGTATTGAAACTTCAGATGAAAATTCCCAGTATTTGAGCTGTCTTGTATTCACTTCAGTGCTATTACTTTTTAAAGAGTGAACTGATTGGCCATAAGTATCTGAAACTTATCTCGTCCTTGCTGTAGTGAATGAGAAATAATTCTTTCAAGACGGTAAAATTATCCCATCTGAAACTGCTAGGGTCATAGAATATCCTGAGCTGATAAGAGACCCACAATGATCATTGAGTCCAACTCCTGATTCCATGCAGGACCAGTCAAAATTCATACCCTGTGTCTGACAACATTGACCAATCACTCCTTGAACTCCAGTGCTTGGGGCTGTGACCACTGCCTTGGGCAGCCTGCTTCACGCCTGACCACCCTGTGGTGAACAAACATTTATTTTAGGTGATGTTAGAATGTGATACTTCAGTCCTTAATTTGTTATTTAGGGAGAGGGACGAAGGATAGGGAATCAGAAGAAATGAAGTGCAATCATGCCATTTTAATTCAGCATTTTGGCGTGCTCAATTACTATAAACACTCTCAGTTGGGAGTAAATATATTAGTCTGTTGTTTTCAATGAAGTAATTCATGCAAATACAGAGAAACATATACAGAAGTGTTTTGCAGGTTTGGAACCTATAAATTAAAGAGTAGACTAGACTGCTTTCTCTTCAGTTATTCTCTCCTATTTGTTATGCAATATGTTTTTCAAAATAATGAATAATTGTATAATCATCCAATCCATATCCTAAATAGACAATCAGCTGGTAGACTGCAGTATCTAAAATGAGTAATGATATGCTTGTGGAGATCTTTTTTAAGACCCTTTATTGTACTGGTGAAAAATGTAGTATTAAAAGCTATTTTTAGATTGAACTGTGGGTGTAACACAAGCTAGTAAAAGCTAAAAAAGCCCAAACAACTACTACTCCAAAGCAGCTGATGGTGGGAAAATAGCTGCTTCTGGTTCAGTTAAACTCCTTCTTGAGTGAAACCAGCTTTTTCCAGTGAGGCTATCACACTGCCAGTATGCTAGTTAAAATGCATAGGCATCAGTGAAGTATTTCAAGATTTTGCTTGCTCTTTACAGCAAGTTTGCTGCCTTTTTACTTTCAAATTGCCTCCAGTCCTGAACTAAGAGGTTAGCTATGAGGCAGCAAATAGTACCATGAGAGTGAAAAGGGAGAAAGGCTGCCTTGCTCTTCCCTGGGCATAAGAGAGGTAAGAAGAGGATGTGCTATCCATCCCACCCAGGGACTGGTCATCCATGGACTTTTGGATATAGTGCCATGTCTCCGTTAAGGTGCATCCACACTCTCTTGCTCTAGTCACTGCTGCGTGCCACCTTGGTGAAGTCCTCCCTCTCCTCTCCTTTTAAATTAGCAATGTCTATTATAATGGCAAAGAGTAGATTCTGTCTAACTCTCCCATTGTGAGGCAGTATAATTTTCTGCTTTGTTCTGACGATGGAAGAACATAAACATTTTCAGATTCTTGGTTTATATACCTAATGCCGAACTTTGCCATTATGGGCTCTTGTTTCAACATAAGCTTTTCCATCAAGGAAAACTTACTTAATGATCACTTTTTTTCTTGCTGGAGTTCCTTTTGCCCTGGATGTGGTTGTACAGTTTTCTAGAAGTCCAGATGAGCAGTAAAATGTAATTACAGAAATAGTTTTGGGGAGGGGGTTGGGGGTGGGAATAGGTACTTTTTATTCACCTTAAAAGTTTAGATCTATGGTTATGTCAGGCCAATGAGAGTGTACTGGACTGCAGCCCAGGGGCAGGAATGAATGGCTTGAGAAGATAGGGGCAGAGAGCAAAAGCTTATTAAGTTGCTTTGTCACCAAGTGAAATGTGTCATGGGATTGCTACTGACTCTTCTGTTTGATCAAATGATATGGAAACTGCAGAGGGTGTTCCATTTTCTTTTTTTTTTTTTTTTTTTTTTTTTTTTCAGCTATCTTAGTGGTTGGAAGCCAGCTTCAGCCATATTAGATCCACTGTCTTCCCCAAAAGGGGAATTCAGCTGAAGTCATATTTGACCACACTTTGCCTGTTTTTAAAGTTTCAGAACTTTTTTTTTTTATTATTTTTTTTTTTAAGGGATACAAATACAACATCACTAGCAGCTATTTCCAATGGAGTTTTAGCTTAAAACTTCAAATCTTAGAGTAGGAATTCTGATTGCTAGCTTTCTGGATGGGGAAAAAAAGAAATGTAACACCGAGTTATGCTGACAAAGTACATTTGATTTTAAAAAAATGCCAGGCGTGATTTGCATTTTTCTTCTTCTCTTGGTTGAATACTGATGGGATCAGCTACAGACCTTTGGTTGCATGCATCTACACTTTATCAGCTAAATCTTAAAAACCAAGCTGCAATTCTGTTCGCTTATTTATCAAAATGTCTTTACACAATGCTGTTTCTAGTTAGTAATATGCAAACTGCACTGTTATGTCCTTGTTCATTTTGTTGCCTTCTCTACAGCGTTACCTCGGTTTCTCTTTGTTTGTGCTCAGTGGTTATGATTTGTTAGCAGGTACGTGGCAGAGGAATGCACTCACTGGGTTGAATATATTGTTACGTATGTTTTGTCAATGTAAAATAGCACACAGAACAACAAAAGGAGGAGTAATGACAATGTATAAACAAATAGCCTGTGTTGTTTCATGTTGACACGTATATGACACTAATCCAGAAGCTCATGCCAGAGGCAAGTGAAATATGTTTTGAACCACTAGAGGCATTTCTTCTGGGATTGCTCATACAGTACGATTTCTGTCTCCTTGCTTTCAATCAAACTCCACTGATCTATTAACAACAGTATTCATATTTGAGGTGGAATATATGTAAAATATGACACTTTTACAAGAGGTATTTTCCAGTGTATCCATGATGGTATTCTTGCTTAATTCAGAGGCGCATCAGGTGCATATCAAAAAACTTCAGCGTTGTATAGTTACACACATATTTCAAATTTTAATCTTTAACTGGTAAACAGCAATAAAGGCCTTTATTTGGTGTGGACCATATGTGCCGTTTGCAGGGAAACTTTCCTGGAAAACAGTGCCCAATAACTGTAGTTTCCTACTCTGAAAAGAAGTGTATATAAAAGTAATTTGAGTATTTGACTTCTATTTGAAGTAGTTATGGAAATCAGAGAGTGGATAGTAGCACTTCACAAGGAAGAGTTAAAATCTATGGGTAACATAGTGAAAACAAACAAATAAAAACAAACTACTCCCTGAAAATAAGTCATGATGTAAACTCTGAAGCCCTTTTCAAAAGGGATGGAGCTGTTGGTGTTAAAGTTGTGCCTAGTCTAAATGTATTATATGTGAAGCATGTTTAATAGTGTTTTTTTTCCCGTGGAAACTACAAGTGATAGAAAAAGCACAATACTAGTGTTAGGTGGAGCAAATTCTCAGTCACAAGGCACCATTTTTCAGTGTAGACACTACTATTAGCTATGTGTTCTTGCCACTGATGAACAAGAGCCTGCATTCTGCACTAGTAAGAATATGAACTGGTGGAGGTGATCTGCTGTTACCAATGCTGAAACACACCACCAACCACCTCTCTGTGCTCACATCCATTGTTTGGTCTCCATAAACATTCAGCAAGAGTTGATGAATGTCAATGGGTGCCATTTTTTTTTTCCACATGGAGGAATTCAGTGACACACTGTTTCGTCAGACGCCATTTTGTCAAACTGCCCCTCTGCTGCCATCTGCCACGCTGCTACAAAATGTGATGGAGTATTGGTGGGAAGTGCCATATCACTAACATCCTCCCTGGCATTGTGAGCCAACAAAATATAACAAGAGGCAATTACTTTTGGAGCAGCCCTTGTATATTTGCCCATAGCATTGCCCTAAATTGTATAGGGGTCTTTTTGTGTGTGTGCGTGTGTGTACGCTCAAAGGCATGCACAAAATATTGCACATTTTTTAAGATTTGATGTACAGGTCAGTACTTTTAACTGACGTGCTCCTTTAAATGGAGGCCATGTTATTTAAAAATTACTAGAAAAAAAAGCCTTTTGTAGTGGAAAAAAAAACCCAACTACCTGTTTTGCTGGGTATAGACCGTGATATGGATAGAAAGAGAGAAGTCAAGATGATGGCAGTGCTGAGGTTCCTGGTGCCATGATACTGCATCCAAGGGATTTGATGGTCTCTTGTGGCTTTGCAAATTGCTTTACCTTTGGCTCTTCTTCAAAGAGCAGATGTTGACCACAGATGAAAATATTGAATTTACAGCTTATATCTATCAGTTCTTTCTACTGGCTGCTTCTTTTGATTCTACCCTTTAAAGGAGAGGAGTCATTTCAAGATTTTATTGCCTTTGGTTTGTCTTTTTCTTTTTTTTTCCCTTCTCCTAATTGAACCATAATATATAATCAGAGAATTCTTAAGGTTGGAGAAGAGCACTAAGATCACCTAGTCCAACTGCCAAGACATCCTCACCATGCCCACTAACTGTGTTTTTCAGTGCCACATCCACACGGTTCTTGATCACCTCCAGGGACTCCACCAACCCCCTGTGCCATTGCCTCACTCACTTTATGAGTAGAAATGTTTTATAATATCCAACCTGAATGAGTTCTGTGCCATACCACTGGACTAAAAAGAAAGTTATCCATGGCATGCAGAGGATGTGTGATTGGGTTGGGTAAATGTGATTGTAGCCTATCTTATATGATTACTGTGGGGGGGTTATTTCAGCATCACAGCACTGGCATCTCAACCCCATGCATGGTCTTGGCAACCTGAGCAGGGCACCAAAATCCAGGGGCGATGGCAAAGGTCAGCAGACTCTCAGCATTAGCGAGTCCTGGGCAGAGCTCAGCCCTTCATTCATTACTGAGTAACCAAAGTGACAATGCAGCCTTTTTCTGTGAAGAATTTGTGTCCCTGTTCACTGTCCATTGTGTTGATTTCAATGAAACCTAAGCGCATGCTTAGAATTAGGCTCTTCTTTGCGTGGTGCCCTCAGGAGAGAGAGTTTCCTCAAGTTGGGCCAAACATGTACTTTGTACAGGGCATCCCCTGACCCAGAAGGTCAATTGAATCTTCTGAGGGATTCTGAAGGGATATTTTTAATTGTTCAAAGTCTTGTTTTATTTTCAGGCTCTGCAAAATAATCTGAATATGTGTTTGTATAAAAGCATAAGGGAAAAGCTGGCAGAGAAAGAAGCTTGCTATTCATTGCGGTTCAAATCCTGTGACCGGGGTGTCAGACAGAGTTTTGCCATTGATTGCAGTGAGCACAGGGGCAACTCATCTGGCCCTTCAGAAGGAATAATTTTTTTCCCACATAGAGACAAAAGCAGCTAATGTAAAATTGAGAATTTTTTTGTTGATGAGATATATAACTTGTAAAATTATGGTGGGATTGCATAATGGTTTTAACCTCTGTGTGGAGAATAATTTCTGTGCTTCTAATTGAAATCCCATCTCAAGGAGGGAGGCACAGGTGAGACACACCCAGATGCAGGATCACAGAAGCATCCTTAGTCTGGTAGGTTTGGCACTGCAGTTTTCACGTTAGCTATGTTCCACAACAAACTTCACGTTACTTGGTGCTTACTGTCCATGGGTAGGAATTACCCACTTCTGGTTGGTTAATTCTGCTCAGAAAAAAATCCACCACCTCACTGTGCTTACTTGCACTATTTGGGCTCCATAAATGTTCAGCAAGCATCAATGAATGTTAGTGGGTGCCAACGTAATAAAATAGGAGGCATTATTTTCAGAGCACCCTTCATTTTTTAACGTGATCTGATGTAGAGTTTTTGAAGAAGTGAAGCGTTGTTTCCTCACTTTACTCTTTTGCAGCAGCAGAAGTCCCATCCCAGCAGATTTCTAGACTGATGCTCTGTAATTCTGTGTGTTTAAACCTAAGTGCATTAATGATGGTCTGGGGGCTGAAAATTCAGAGGATGTCTCTCTATTTCATTGCAGGAGGAAGTGTTTTTAGCCGCAGATCTAAGAAAGGACAGGCTGGCATGGAGAAAGAGGTAAGTGAAGGAAAAAAAAACACTTAAAAAGAAAAAAAAAAAAGAAAAAAAAAAGGAAAATTGAAAGGGCTATTCCTAACATTGCAATTTCATAATATTATTTGTAGTGTGATGGGAGGGAAGTCAGCAGACACGTAGGCTCCTTTATATCATTGACAAGTCAAGGGGATGATTAACGAGAGTACCAGACAATGTAATGGTAGGAGAAGGCCCACAGAAGTTAAACAAAAGTGCCTTCAGAATTTAGAGAATTCCCATGATCCATAGTAGGACCTCATTGTGCTTGTCTACTGTTTCTATTTTTGATTAGATTTATAAACACAGCACCACATATTTTCATGTGGCTCGTAGCCCCAGGGCAGAGCGAGATTGACTGCACTGAAACTGTGAGGCTTGTGAATTTCGGGCTGGGGATGGAGTGAAATAAGTAGTGTAATTGTTTTTGTGGAGTGACCGTGGGACCTCCTCTGTTCTGAATTACACATGGTTCAACCCTTTGACCTAACCAACCTCGGCAATGCCTGGTAGATCTCCTAAAGCTGTGCTGAAAGGTCCTATCAGTGACATGTTGGAACATTATCTGTCATGTGAGATGTGTGCCAACAACCATATTAAACTACATTAATTACTAGTGAGGCAATGTTTGTGACAATCTCAACTTCATTTAACCCATCATCGTGTTAGTTATTGTTTAAACAGGAAGTACAAGTGGGGACAATTTATGAAATCAAAATGCACCACCAGTGTTTTCTTTAATAAATTGTATGTTTTACTTTGTTTTATTTTCATCCTTTTTTTTTTTGTTCTTTTCATCAGCTCCATAGACTGAGTTTTGGAGGGCTTTTCTATTTTAAGACTAACCAGGGAAATTACTGCTTCTTAATAGCTAAGCTCACGTGCCAATGTAATTGTTATTTCTTCCAGTGTAGTGGTAACTGATAGCACAGCTGACTGGGAACACAGGGCTTGGTTTTCTAGCAAGAAGCAAACATGCTGAGGTAGTTTTTATGTAAGACTGTAAGATCACATGTGGGTTATTTGCTTCATTTATACCTTCCCACCTTCACAGTCCAGCGAGTGCATCTCTGCACAGCAATGCTTGCGCACCTCTGGAACAGGAGCAAAGCACAGGCTTCAATGTTGCAATTCTTTGAGAACACTTTTCTCATAGAGCTGAACCTTTGGGTACCTGAGCATGCTGTGGGTCCTCAAAAGGCAGCCTAGGATGTACAAAGTCAGGACCTGTCATGCCTAGCTGTGCTCAGCATTATATTGGACCAGACACGGAAGGTTACATCTTCCAGCTCCACACCAAGCTGCTTTCCTTCCGCAGGCTTTTCCCTCCAGTCTCGTTTTCCAGCTAGCATGGACTGAAATGAAGCGGGTATTTATTTATTTCGTTTTTTAATTGCTGCAGAGTCAGCTAAAAAATATGTTTGACCCTACCAAGTGTCATCCTCATTAGCAATGAAGAGTTTGCTCTCTGCAAAATCTAATGTGGAGTGCTTAAAGCAGACAGGTGCAAATTACAAGCTGTTTCTCTTTGGCTGCCATCCCTTAAATAGACAAAAGTAATGGGCTGGGAGGAGGGAGAAGGTTCCAGCTCCAGCTGCATAAAGGAAAGCCTTAACAGGGACTTGCCAGCTGGTTTAAAGAATTAAATGCTGTAAATACCAACTCAGGGGTTTGTGTGCTTGCAGAGGAATACATTTTTAGGAAGGCTCCATCCCTTTTTATGCAGGCACATTATTCTTTGAAAACTGCTCTGCATTATTTTAAGGCTAATGCTCTCACTGAAGTGAATAAGAACAGAAGCCAACATACCTGTTCCTGCTTACTGTCATTACACTCCTTAGAGCATTTCAGGCATTATTAGGTTCCTGGAGCCCTACCAGATTGACAGTATTTCCAGCTACTTCTTTGTTGGCTGTGTTCAAACAAGGCCCCAAAGGAAAAAAAAAAACAGCAACCCACAACAAAAAACAACAAGAACAAAACCATGGATGAATCTGCTGAGCTAGTTTGCTGATGTTAGAAACAGTTGTTCATATTAAGAACACCTAATTTAATTTCATGAAAGAGACATAACATGCCAGTATGTGTATGAATCTAAGGTATGCATTTCCTAAAAGGAACTAAAACTCTGTCATTCCAAAGTTGCTCTTCTTTTTGACTTCCAGCTTGCATAGGGACTGCTGTCTGGAAGCAGTAACTTTAACTTTAACTCTAAGGCTGCTGATGAGGTCTGTCTGTGTGATCTTCGTAAGCAGATAAGGGTAGGGAGACAGCTCAGAGCAGAGCTTGTTTACAGCAGGACAGAAGAAAACAGCTAGACATAAATGAGGGCTGACGGTTTCATGAAGCACAATTGGTTGATCACAGATTCAATATGACTGCCCTGAACTGAGCGATGATCCGTACAGTATGCAAAATTCACTTTCTTGCTGGTCTGTGCCCACCAGCCTTCCAGCAGCTTTCCCAGAGCCCCTCAGCCACGGCTTTGAGTGGAACCAGAGCTGAACGCAGCATTGTTGTACCCAATTCCTTTTGACAACAATCACATTCTTTTAAAAACTTCATAGGTTTTAGTTGTCACTGGTTATAAATGAGGGTTTTTTTTTTCTTTTTTTTTTCTCTTTTTTTTTTTTTTTTTCCCCTTGCTGCTGCTGCTGTTGCGGTGCTCACTACTCTTGCACAGACCTGGGCTCCCCAGTTTCGGATGCTCCTGTTTTTCTTTTGTTTAAATTGGTGTTGTTAAGCAGACTGCAGGCCTTAATGCCAACGGTGCACGCGGTGGTGACTGCAAAAAGGCATACAGAGGTTCAGGTCGCTTTGAATTACATGCTGATTATTCTGTGTTGTGCTCAGCTACTTCCGTGTCCCCTCGCCTTTGTCACACTGCATGACACTCGAGTTAAAAAAAACTAATATACATTTTTAATAAAAAATAACAGGCATGACTTTGAACTCATCTTTGGACCCTGTTCTACAAGTAGAAGATGGTTTCTGGGCAGAAATGCATACATGTGCATTCTTCTGGATATGGTCACACAACTGGATGTTGCCTGCAAGTTGTCACTGAGAGGGCTTTCTTCTGTTTGCTGCTGGAAATCTAAGTTTTGTAGATCCGTGAAATGATTAAAGGACAATCCCTTTAGACATGAATTTGCATAAATACATAAGTTAACGAGTAGTGACTAGCGATAAAATGAATATAGAATGCCACTGAGTAATTTTGTGCCTATTATCTGATAAGAAGACAAAGTATCTTAAGGGGGGGGTGTTGGGGAAGGAAATAAAAAAAATAAAAGGATGTAATTTAAAATACTTAAGGGTGCCCATATGTAAACAAGAAGGATGGAAGAATCAGGTGGAGATAGATATGAAAGGAGAACTCTCTTAATTTCCTCTGAAGCACAAAGTGACAAGAACATGTGTTGATTACACAAAGGCCACCAAACTGCTCTGTTATTTAGTTACTTGAAGAAGAATCCCTGGAAGGATTTCACCCTGCTGTAGAAAATCAGGTGTTGCTTTCATTCAAAAAATATGAACTCACTGAAAATGCCTTTTCAAAGCCTAATCAAGGGACAAGGGCATCGTTTCTCTCAAAGCTCTTTGTAAATAGGAGTCACAAGCATGCTGCATCAAAACTCAAAAAATATTCATCTGTGATTGCGCGAATGAAGTGCAGAAGAACATACATGGCTGTATCTCTGAAAAACAGTAATTGGTGCTAACTGTACTGAATATAAAGAAGCCAAATAACAGCAATAAAATCCCACAGTGTGTGTTTTGTAGGTCTGGAGGAAGAGGAATACTTTCTTCTTCCCATCCCCCCGCCCCCCTCTCATTGTGAGGGAAGTGTCGTGTGTTTTACAGAATATAGCAATTCGAAGCTGACTGTGACAAATACAGCCTGCAATTGGTTTTGCAGGGAAATCTGACATGCAGAAGGAATATGTGTATAGATAGAAAGTAGTGCGGATCATCTTAATTCTGTCAAAGTTGCAGATGTATCTTGATGTATACCAGTTTAAAAATTTGTCCCAGAATTTTTGTCTGGGTGTTATTTTTTTTGCTGTTAACGTAAGGTTTAAAGCTTTGTTTGGTAATTATATACAATTTATTAAGAACAATGAAGATACAACATTTTTATAAATGCTGCGGCATCTTTAAAACTAACTGAATTAAAATATTAGGAATGTAAGTAATGCATCAGTACATTAATTTTGAAAGAGTTATAGAATTCTAAAGGTGCTCACTAAGCCAACGTGTATTTTAGAAAGATTTTTCAGTTGGGGAAAAAACATTGAAAGCAGTATGGTGACTTTCTGAACCTATTGAATTCTTGTCAAAATTATCATTAACTTCATTTGTGCTGCACACAGCTTGTAAGAATTAATTCTGTTGCTTTGGTACTTACTGTAGCTTCCAGAATGCATCTAGTTCATTTTTGCATGTTTACATTTTTGTAGGACAGTAGTCATCTTGATTTAGAAGAATTCTACTGTTGTCAGACTAACATTTACACATGTATGCATATATTCATATATATTAAGTTATAATATCTATATTAATCTGTCAGTACTATGGTTCTATTGTTTTTGACAGATTTATTGATCGTGTGCTGCAAGCATTGCTTTTTACTGGAAATTGGCACCCACAATCAAATGGGAAAGATGGATGCTCTAAAAATTGCAATTTTTCAATTATTCTTGTAATTAATCCTTTCGTATTGACAGTTTCCAGGAGCTATGTTGCCAGGAGTGGTCTTTGTCACTGGACAATTAAGCAACTGGCTTAAAAAAATTGTGCTCATTTCAGGAACTGCCATGCGAGATTTGAAAATAAATAGGTGTGAGCTGTTCTCTTGCTTTGATTTTGGCTTTGATTAATACTCCCAGATGTTCTTTGTTTTAGATAATCTTTGCCTGCTTTGATTCTTAGTGTCCATTACTGGGGTCTGTAGCTAGGCATGAGCTCATGTGAAGTTCTGCAAGTGTTGCGCAAGGTTTTGTACCAATGTAGACTTCAGCACTTGGACCTTCCTGTTGGTACCAATATGGCCATGTTTATTCTGGACCTTGCATCCCCATAGGAATTAATTTGGAACTTGTCATGACCCAGTTCCTCCAGTAGCTATCATCTTGTTTTCACCGTAGCTGCTGTTGGTGCATACCTAATATTAAATTAATTTTTCATTGTTGCAATGACTCCTCTCCCCTGGACCGTGATCTCTCTTTTGTAACCTCTCAATGTAAATTATTTGGGATTGTGTCCATTTCATCATCTCATATGAAAGTGTGGAGCTCGTTCATTTCCAGCTGCCCTGTGATGAACAGCTACACTGGTTATGTAAGTGGACTTAGGAAATGCAGAAGGGGGGGGTGTCAGGGAAGCCTGTCTGTGGATAACATGAATGACCAAACTTTTCTAAATGAAGCACTGCTGTTCTGCAAGTGAAATAAAGCAGTCTTATTCTTTATTTGTTGAGGCTCCTTTGCATTAATTAAAATTGGTTAAAAAAAAAGACTAACAACAACAAAAAAAAAAATCACAGTATTTTAATGTGACCTTCATTTGGCATTTGTTTTAACTTTTCTTCTCCTATTTTATTTAATTCTTCCACTGCTGTTGTTCAATTAGTGTTTGACCCCTTTAGCAGAGATGTAAATTAAATGACATTTCAATGCCATCCCATATTTAAAATACTGTGTTAGTTGTGGATCATAAAGGATGATCTTCGTTCTTTAGCTAATTTATTCATTTAACAATTTCCCTCCAGAAGTTCCAGCAGAAGGCTCTGAAGCAAACTAAGCAGAAGAAATCCAAGTCGGCTGAATTTCTGATGGGTGAGCCTTGCTTGATGAGTTATTGCTCATAATTTGTGTAAGGATTAATTAACTAATTACAGACAAATGGCTGTGGGCGAAATTTTGCTCTTGCTTGTCAGGGTGCAATTTGTAATTATTTTAATCATTTATTCTTTTTTTTTTTTTTTTTTCCTGAGTTAATTTTAACCTAATTCTGTTTTGGCGACATTTGAGGACGATACACTTGAGTCTTTCAGCAAAGGAATTACTAGAAGGAATTTTCTGCTTGTCATTGAAATACACTTTGCTGTAATGTGCTCTTCTGACCTCCTTGTTTTCTGTAGTAAAAGAAGAGAGAGCAGCAACAGAAGGCATTGAAAATCCAGCTTTTAACATCAGCAGCGCAGATCTTTCAGCATATCAGACTTCAGAGGAGGACATTATTAGACATGACAAGCTGCATAGCACCCTTGCAGCTCACCAACAAAAACTCAGGCTGCAAGCCCATGCTGAACCAAGAGGTGAGGCATCAAACCGGATTACCCTCAAACGGAGTGACAGCAGTTGCACTCCTCATCGAACCTGCACATTCCGCCGGGTGTTCCCATCCTGATGCATCCCAACATCCACCCCCAAAGCCCCAAACGCCTCTGAAAACATTGGATGATTGCAGGTTTGGGGATCTGTGCTCCTTTTTTGTATTCGACTGGCTCCCCTTACTGTGGATGCAGGTTGCATGGTGCTCCCCCCTGAGCAGATGGGAGTGCAGGGAGCCAGCTCTTCTTATGGTGAGTCCCCTTAATTTGTACCAGGTTGGATTTCGGAGGCACTGTAGCAGACAGATGCTGTTCCCTTGCTGGCTCCCGAGCATTGAGTAGCTTTAAACAGCTTACAGATCAGTGATTGATTGTTGTCCTCAGATCTCCCATATGCCCTCAGTCAATCGGCATCTTGCCTCTGCTTTATTATATTTTTCAGCCACTTGTGCTCAGATATTTAGAGCAGAGACTCCTGTTTGCTCTGCTTTTCCAGGGAAGCGATCCTGCACAACCTGGTTTTTAAGCTCAGCTGTGGTGTGGCACCCAAAAAAGATCCTGTCTCATGAAGCAACGTTCATTATTTAGGGTAATGCAAACTATTAGGATCTTTGGTGACATCAGTTTTTTGTATTGCAGAGGTTTGGTATCTTTGAACCTATTGCTTAATTACTCCATTTTGAATTATTATTACCACTGAATGTTATGACTAATGGTTGTTTTTACTTAGTAATATCATGCGATTAAAGAATGACTTGGATTGGAAGGGGACTTAAAGCCTATCCCATTCCAACCCTCTGCCATGGGCAGGATTGTTGCCCACCAGATCAGGCTGCCAGGGCTCCATCCAACCTGGGTTGGTGAGAAAATACAATGAGGAAAAAGGTGAGAAAAAGAATGTAGAGACATCTGATAAGTTATATGAGGAAAATCTTGGACTAAGTTCTGAAGTGAAAGCAATCGTTTCTGAAGTCAGACTAAAAATCTTCCATAAATATGTATTGAAAATATCATTTTATTGGAATGTGCTGTATCCTTATCTTGAAGTGGACTGTAATCAACCATGAATATGTGAATGTACATACAAAACCCAAAATCTCCCAAGGTACCAAAGCAAACAATACAACTTTAAGGTATCCAGCTCACCCAGTGCTTCCTATCAAACTCCCAGGCAGTGATGCCACTTGGTGAGCACCCTTGAGTACTCACAGACTTATTTAAATAAGTAAGTACAGGCTGTTGAGCCAAACTCCAGGTATTTGCTTTTAAAACCCTGGACCTTGTTGTGTTAATGTTTTATCCTCACAGGCCCAGAGAGCCCATGGCTCCTGATAGCCTCTCTCACAATTAGGTCTGGCTTTCCATTTAGCTTTCACGTGACTGCATAGTGCCACATGGAGCAGGAATTCTCTCTGCAGCCTGTCAGAACAGTGATTAAGCAGACAAAGGAATTGATTGTTTTTTAATGAAATAGTCTATTTGGTAAAAATGAAGTTGAGCTCACTGGAGTCTGTCCATACTTTCAGTCGTTGCTTCAGAAATTTATGAATAGTCTCTTCAAGAAAAAAACACTTTTACAGACTAAAATGTGTTTTTTTACCCATTATGGTGAATTCTTCATTCACAGTATCATTCAAAAAAACAACAAAAGCCAACAACAACCAACCAGACAAAATATAACACCAAAACCCTCTTTTTTTTTTATTTTTTTATTTTTTTTTTAAGCACGGAACAGAAACGAATTTTGCCTGGAACGAAACAGTTTGATTGACAAAGTGCTTTAATGGGAGATGAAGGCTTACTGAGAATTAAATATTTTGTTTCCCCAAACTCATTCTCCTTCACAATCTTTTGCCCATCTATTTAACCAGAAGACCAGTTATTCATATAGCTCTGCCTCTAATTCATGCAGCTGTTAAAAAAAAAAAAAAAAAATCATCCATTTATGCCATCATAAAAAAAAAAGTCTAGATTGGAAGAGGCCTTTAGAGATTACCTGGTCCAACCTTGCATTGAATTATTCTTAGTCTAACTTCTGTCAGAACTTGTTTGGCAGTCACAGGGGCCAGTTCAAACTTATTGTGGGCTGCTAACAAAACAACAGCTTCAAGCCTGACCAGAAACCTGGGAAAAATTGAACTACACCTTCTGGTACCTCCTGAGCTAATTTTCTCCACCCCCAAGTGTAATAGTACTTCATTAAAGAGGAAATGGAAAAAGCCAGCTACATAGAAAAGCATGGTATGGCATGATTGTAGTGAATGGTAGTATTTCATGGTCCTGTCCATGACCACAAGATTCTCTTCTAGCTCTCAGACCCCAGGCTGAATCTTGGTTACTTGACAGGGAGTAGCATTGGTCAACTCTAATTCTTGCTGTTAAACTGCACAACCTAAAAGCAGTTATAACCTCAAGCACAATTATTTAATTGCAGTGTTTAGCAGATTACAGGTTTAGAACACTATGTAAATATCAGGCTGGATTTCATGCTATGCCCTTGGAGGCATGGTGCTGAGATGGCATTGCCTTTCCATTGTCTTTCCACCTGTCACCTGTGTCCTCAATGGCAGCAAACAGTAGCTACAGGAGTGCTAGCATTTCCTCCATCCTACAGTAGTGTCACAGCCTGTTCCTCCTTCTGTGACTGCTGGAGGGAAGTATTCTCTAGAAAAACCTCCACCTGCTACTTTTGAGATGCCTTCTCACAACACCTCTGTGCTGAGAATACTGAAAGGAGTGTATATAGTCAGCTTTGTGTTCAAGACAGCCTCAAAGTCTGTTCCTGGAATTTGACACACTGTGCAAAATACAGATTATTTAGGGACAAAATTGCCTGTGCAGAAGCCCATCACATTGCAGCTTGCTTTCAGCTGGCCCCTACCCACCTTAATTCGCAGGTATGATAGAGCTATATTGACTTTTCCATTCCCTTTCCTCAGATAACAGTACATCACCTGAAAATGAGTGTGTGAACTGAGTTTTGCCTTGAATAGCTGATGAAATATTTCCAGTTTAAAAAGTTCAAGTATTTTTTCAGAGAGGATTTAGTTCTGTGTAGAGCCAGGAGTTGCACTCGATGATCCTCGTGGGTCCCTTCCAGCTCAGGATATTCTATGATTCTATGCTCTCGTGACTCTGATACTCCATTTTTTCCATTTGTCAGGCCATTTTATTCCTTACACTGTCATATTTTCAGTGATGGACCATATTCCCAATGTTATCATCAACAGTAGACAATTATTCAGGAATAAGCTTTTGTGTAACTTTCTGCTGTCTGCTTCCATTACTGCTCTTATAGGATGGTGACCTGGTGTTGCTGTTAAATGTTATAGTGACCCAAGGGAACTGGCTGTTTACTCAGATTTACCAATTATCAGGCACCTAAATGGTTACAGTGGGTTCTACCCTATTTTCTCTTCATGATACACTGACCTTTTGCTGATCGCTCCTAACCATCATGTTTGTTTCTTTCCCATATTTCTCATGAAATTAAGGTCGTCTGGCAATTTTTGCAATTTATTTGTTCCTGAAAATTCTCAGTTTACTTGTGACTACATCCAACCAGCTCCTTCCTCCTTTCTTCACCTCAGCAAATATTCGATTTGCCAGAAATTTTCGCATTAGTCATCCCAGTGGGAGGTCAGATAGTGGATAAACAGACAATAGAAAAATATTTAGGATCACATTACCCATAACTGGAGTAAAGGATGGACATTTCATGTGCGCCTGAAATCAGGGTGAGCTCCCATTGCCTTTTTTCTTTTTTCCAGAGGTATTTAAATCCAAAACACTAGGGAGAGTTCCCAAGTGTTCAGGTGGGCTTGGTGAAGTCTGTGCCTAGCAAATCGCCTTGGCGGAAGCACCAAACCGCCAGGAAACTGCCTGCCCTCTTTGGCTGAAGGCAGAACACGAAGGCAGTTGCTCAACCTTGGATGAATGATGTATGTCACAAGAAATCCCTTAACAAAGGGCTATGTATTTAGTGTTTTATCATAGGCCTGCAAAGCAAACATTAATCTTTTCCAGCATTCAGATCCTCAGCTATTGTGAATAGTTAATTTGCTAGTGGCTTATAGCTGTTTGTACTGCTTGGTGCTCACCACAGCCACAGAACTATAAGGCTCTGGTCCAGCTAATCCCGAGAAGAGCTCTGTGGGATGGCACTGTTCACATTTCTACAAGATAGGTGAAATTTCTAGCCCAGGCATGCAGAGGGAATGTATGTCAGAACAAATTAGTCTGTGTTCTTTCTGGGATGCCAGTTACGCATGCAAGCTGCAGAATCCAGGCACAGGGCTATCCAAGCATCCTACCATTACATGATCCACCTTGCACCCGGCCTCTTCAGAGGCTGTGATAGTCTGTGGCTTTTGCATGAAAGATGAAAGGAAGGCTAATTGTCTTCTCCTGTATCATTCACAGTAGAACAAAGGCTAGAGGCAGTCTGACCCTAAATGTTGATGTTTCAGGTTGAATTGTCTCCAGATGATGAAGAGTGCTCATTTTTTTTTCCTATCATCCCCAATACACAAATCCTTTTTCAGAACTAGATTATCTCCTAAAATCAAAAGCCCTAATTAATTCTACCACTTCATCTGCAATAGGCTCTGTTAACATCTCATATCATGCTCCAATAAATTTGCCCACAGAGATTAACATAGTTTAAAAAGAAAAAAGAGGGAAAAAAAGCTTCAATTGAAGACCAAATCTATTTTAATTAGCATTGGTATGGTATGGTATGGTATGGTATGGTATGGTATGGTATGGTATGGTATGGTATGGTATGGTATGGTATGGTATGGTATTAACATGGCTATACTGCTTCTGGCAGCAAATTAGCATCTCTATGTAGTCTCCTGCTGCACCACCTCCTAACTGCAGACTTGGGCTGAACATATCTAACATGGTGCTGCCTGCATCCTGTGAGGAGCATCCCACTGTGAAATAGAGCAATTCTGCCCCTCATCAAAAGCCAAAGTAAAGCC